CGTGGGGGGGATGTCCTCCCTGGCAGGTTCCCCCCCCCCCCCCCCAATCAAGCCCCTATTGCCGCCGCCACCCCACAGGTGCTGGGAAAGGTGGGTGGCAGGGTTCTGGAGACCTTCCCCAGGCTCTGCACCTCAGGGCGGGGGGGGGGGTAGTCTCTGCAACTTCCCTAGCTGCTTCTTGCTCCTCGTGGCCCGGGGCTGCTGGGAGCAGGGGGCAGGGCTTGTTGCATGTGCCCGCCCCCTGGGCTCTTTACTGCCGGAGCTCTGCTCCTGTGCGCTCCTGCAGGAAATGACCCCTGCATCCGGCCCTCGTAACAAATTAGTTCGACACCCCTGTATTAGAACATTAGAAGCTGACCCCAGTCAGAATACTGGATTGTAAAGATACCCCATGTATTGAATAGATGTACAACTTTTGGCAGAATGCATTAAGCTTTTACTCATCGCGGTGCGTTTGTTCTTTTGACGACCTCCCATGTGGCATCTGACCGGCCGGATGCTGGACTGGATGGGCCAGCGAAACCGTTAGCTAAAGGCCTACGGCTGGGAGGGTGCAGCCCTTTGTGAACTAGAGTGCTGTAATCTTTCCCCCAACGCAGGTTGATGGAGAAAAAGAAGCGGGACCGGCAGCTGGCCAACAAACGCAACTGAGCCGACCTTGACGTTCACATTCCGGGCTGTGGGGAGGCCGGGAGCAGTGCCGCCCCCCGGCCACCAAGCCCCAAGGAGGGCTTGGAGAACAGCCACAGCTGGGACCATTCTCTACTAACCCCCGCCCCAGCGGGCTCGCCGTCTGGTGGGTGGAGCAGCAGACACGGCGGCAGCTGTCCCTGGAGCTGGCGCCCTTGCCAGGAGCTTTCGGAAATGGGACGCTGGGACCTCACGGGCTCTTTCCCCCCTGGAGCAAGCGGGCTTGCTAACTGGACGAGAAAGCCCGCTGTGACCACCACCGGGCAGTCCCCGCAGGCCATGCGACGGACGTGCCACCGGAATCGCCTCTTCCTGGAAAGTTTGGGTGGACCTTAGGTTTAACCTGCATACGGAGTTTCCTTTCTTTAAAAAAAAAAAATTTCTCTCTCACCTCCTCCTTTGGTTGCATCTTGAAAGAACAGTGGCGGTGGATGTCAAATCTCCCTTCTTAGGAGACCGGCTCTCCCCTGCTCCTTACACACCTGGGGCCGTGGGCGGAGAAGAAGCGGAAGGCGTAGACTAGGAAGAAGGCGGGGCCGTGCCTTGTGTGCGTCCATTGGAGGGGCAGAGAGGGCAGTGATTGGAGCAGAAGCACGTGACGGACAGCTGAGGGAGGAGGTTTTCCAAGGATAGTTCCCTGGCCAAGCCCCCAAGCGACCCATTGAGACAGCACAAGGGGGGGGGGGACGTTGCAGGCGTCAGGGATCACTGGTGGGGGAAGATGGGAGGGTAAGGCGTGCACAGAGGTGTCGCCTTTTCTAAGCATAGCGTTACAGGCTGCTGTAACGCAGACGGACCAGCACCGCTCCCTGTCTGCTGTCTTTAAGCACAAGTTCCAGTGCGACGAACGGCAACCCCCCGTCTGCATCTCCGTCCTTCCGAAGTCTATGATGGAAGTAGGTTTCATCAACTTAACATGGTGCCTGCTCCCAAATATACACTAGCTTGCCGTCTTGGTATATTTATTTATTTATTGTAGGCGAAGGTGGCCCGGCCTTCAGTAGCTAAGCCACCACGACGCAGCGCTAAAGCACCAGCTTTGTAGGAAGGGTCTGATCGATGGTGTCTTCAGCTAAAAGCTCTCTTGCCAGTGGTGCTCCAGACTGAGTAGGCGATGCCATGCTGGACGGACCAGGGGTCTCATTTGGTATAAGGCTGCTTGCCAGGATTAGTTCGTTCAGGTGTTTAATTCTTGGCACGGCTTATACTGCTGCTTGATCTTTCACCTGGTCTGCTGGGAAAAGGGGGCTTCTTTTCCCTCCGTGTACAAAGTTTTATGGAGCTGCAGTGGCTCAAGTGGTTAAGACGCTGAACTGCAGGCTGTGGAAGGTCAGTAGTTCAGCAGTTCGAGACCCGGGTGCCGCAAGCCGGAGTGAGCTCCCGTCTCTAGTTCCAGCTCCTGCCAACCTAGCAGTTCGAAAGCAAGGAATTGCAAGTAGATAAAGAGGTACCACTTCGGTGGGAAGGCAACAGCGTTCCATGCGCCTTGGCGTCTAGTCATGCTGGCCACACGACCACAGAGACATCTTCGGACAGCGCTGGCTCTTTGGCTTTGAAACGGAGATGAGCACCACAACCCTAGAGTCGGATTCGACTGGCTTTCGATCAAGGGAACCTTTACCTTTACCTTTACAAAGTTTTATACATTATCTAATCTGAGAGGTTCCCAGTGGGGCTTTAAGAAAAGAGACTCCGTTCCACAGTGGCCTTAAAATCCCACTGCAGTCTCCCTCAGCCACTGTGCAGAGTTTGGCGTTTTGCAGAAGACGCCATCTTTAGAACAGGCAGCCAGTGGCCAGCACAAGTCTCTGAGAGAAGGAGGGGGGCCGTCCACGAGCTGTCCTGCCAAGGTTTCAGTGCCGCTTAGTTCCTTGTTCCTTGCTCTTGACTCCCTGAAGCAGGGTGACGCCAGCATATCCATGCACGGTTTTGTACTCTGACTCTATACGCCAGGGGTCTCCAACCCCCAACACTTCTCCTGGCGCCCACCAAGTGCTTTTGAAGAGAGGGCGGGGCCAGCTGGGACTTTTCCCCGGCAGGGCTTCTGATTGGCAAATTTTAAAACAGCGCCTGCCTGAAAATGTTGAAGAGTTGTTATCGGAGTCGCATCTAATCTCGCTCCCTGACATTTTGTGGTTGGCTCCACCTTGTTGTGGCAGCCATCTTGTGGCTGCACTCCACCGCCACCCTGTGTCAGAATCCCAAAGTGCCCGCATGCTCAGAAAGGTGTGTGTGGGGAGGCCTGGTTTAAGTTGTATTGCCTATGCACAGAGAGGGGAGGAAGTTAAGATTGAATTATGCTAGAACTGCGTACGCTGGAACTGAACTCCCACATCCTAGTCACTTAGAATCATAGAGTTGGAAGGGACCTCCAGGGTCATCTAGTCCAACCCCCCTGCATGATACAGGAAATTCACAAATGTCTTCCCCACACACACCCCAATGACCCCTATTCCACGCCCAGAAGATGATAAAAAATCTCCAGGATTGCTTTGTGACCCCAAAGTGGCGATCCGCATTTCCCTGGGCGTGTAAGAAAGGGCCACGAGAACTAAGCACTGAGGCGACCCTTCCTGCCCTCCCTCTCCTGATCTGCCCAAGTTCACAGGACCAGCATTGCTGTCAGATGGGGCCATCTAGCCTCTGCTTGGAAACCTCCAAAGGAGGAGAGCCCCCCACCTCCCAGGGAAGCCTGCTCCGCTGAGGTACCGCTCTAACCGTCAGGAAGCTCTTCCTAATGTTTAGCCAAAAACTCTTCTGATTTCATTTCAACCCATTGGTTCTGGTCCGACCTTCTGGGGCAACAGAAAGCAACTCTGTCCCATCCTCTATATGGCAGCCCTTCAAGATCTTGGAAGATGGTGATCGTATCACCTCTCAGTCATCTCCTTTCCAGGCTAGAGGTACCTGGCTCCTTCATCCTTTCCTCATAGGACTTGGTCTCCAGACCCCTCACCATTTTCGTTGCTCTCCTCTGGACATGTTCCAGCTTGTCTATATCCTTAAATTGTGGTGCCCAAAACTGAACAGAATACTCTAGGTGAGGTCTAACCAGAGCAGAGTAAAGTAAACTTGAATTAGAAGGGACAGGAGACCAAATTCTGTCCAGACTAGACTTTATTTCCATACTGCGTTTAGGGACTAGACAGCTTAGCTGGTGTCACCAATAAGGGAAAGCTCCAGAGGGCAAATATACCTTACCTCGGCCTACCACATGCTCAAGGACGGGTTTTCCTAAAGGTGTGACCATGGAGTTGATGGTGCATGAGGAAGGGGTGGGAAACGGGGCCCGATCCAGCAAAAAAAAACCCATTGTGTTATCTCGTGCCACGGCCAAACAACAATTACAGCGTTGCAGTGTATTCTCGACAGCCTGTTTTACTTCAAGCTTAAGAATCCCCAATTTTTGTTGATTGCAGTGTTTGTCAGGGGCAAAGGCCAGCGTTGAAACCCTGATCCAGGCGTAGGGAAATCATTGGTGCCAAGGAAGGTCGCAGTAGGACGGCCGGATCACCCCCCAGCTCCATTCTTCACTCTTTGCACCGGATGTAGCATACCACAGACAACACTGATCCAATGCTCCCTCTTAAGCGGTGGAGTCTTGTGAGCAAAAATCCTACTTCGTGAGCGACCAGCATTAAAGTGGTGAGCGAGCGATTGGGCTGCTGCATCAATCAGTTTGCTCCGGAGCCCCATCCTTCCTGAGCTAAGACAGAAGTGTGTGAGCCGGAGGCTAAAGAACTGCGAGCTAGCTCACACTCACTCAGCTTAGAGGGAACAGTGACCTCTGTTCAGAGTACAGGAGCATGCATCCTTACTTCCAGAAGTACTAAAAGGGTCACACTGAAGGGTTGCTGGTTCTGGGTTGGGAAATACCTGGAGATTTGGGGGGTGGAGCCAGGAGAGGGCGGGGTTTGAGGAGGGGGAGGGGCCTCAGCAGGGTATAAGGCCACAGAGTCCACCCTCCAAAGCAGCCATTTTCTCCAGGAGAACTGATTTCTCTTGTCTGGAGATCAGTTATAATAGTGGGGGGGGGTTGTCTCCAGGTGCCACCAGGAGGCTGGCAACGCTAAGGCACAGCTAACTTCTCTGCATTCATCTGTTGCTAAAAGTTGTGTGTTTTAACCCTGACTGTTGCCACGAGGGGCCGTGGCTCAGGGGGAGCACCTCTGCTCGGCACACAGAAGGTCCCGCGTCCAATCCCTGGACTCTCCCGTTAAAAAGACCCCTGCCCGAGACCCTGTAGAGCCACCATCAGAGAACTGACCTTGATGGGCCGGTGGCTTCATTCAGTATAAACCCAGACACAATTATGCTGTGTAAAATATTATAATGAATAAATACACTCACATAATTATAAAGAGAGCCAGTTTGGTGTCGTGGTTAAGTGTGCGGACTCTAATCTGGGAGAACCGGGTTTGATTCCCCACTCCTCCACTTGCGGCTGCTGGATGACCTTTGGGCAAGCCGTCGTTCTGATAAGAGCTGTTCTTGAACAAGAGCAGTTTCTGTCAACCCCACCTGCCTCACAGGGTGTCTGTTGTGGGGAGGGGGAGGGAAAGGAGACTTTAAGCCAGTTTGGTGTCATGGTTAAGTGTGCTGACTCTAATCTGGGAGAACTGAGTTTGATTCCCCACTCCTCCACTTGCAGCTGCCAGATGACCTTGGGCAAGCCATAGTTCTGTCAGAGCTGTTCTTGAAAAAGAGCAATTCCTATCAAGAGCTCTCTCAGCCCCACCAGCCTCACCGGGTGTCTGTTGTGGGGAGGGGAAGGGAAACGAGTTTGTCAGCCGCTCTGAGACTCCCTTGGGTAGTGAAGGGCGGGGTATAAGAAGAAGAAGAGATTGGATTTATACCCCGCCCTTCACTTGAAGTCTCAGAGCGGCTTACAAACTCCTTTCCCTTCCCCTCCCCACAACAGACACCCTGTGAGGTAGAAATCCAATCTCCTCTTCTTCTATAAATGTACTTTATCCTAAATATAATAGCGAATATAAATATAGTGAAATACATATACAACTGTATATATAACCAGAAGTCAAAATTCATTCTCTTAAGATGTCCATTCCAGACGTTTGAAAAATACTTGACTATCAGACCTAGGAAAAGTTTCCAAATCATTATCCTGCTGTGTAAGAACGTTCCCTTCCTCCTAATTTCATTAGGGTGATGGTAGGTTGTTGGGTGTGGATCATTACTCACTACAAGCTTCATCACCCTAATGAAGTTGGGAGGAAGTTAATGCTCATACACGGCAGGATAATTGTTTGGAAAGTTTTCCTGTGTCTGATAGCCATGTATTTTTCATCCTAGAACATCCTAGAGATTGAATTTTGACTTTTGGTTATATATGTAGTTGTATATGTATTTCAGGGCTGCGGTGGCTCAAGTGGTTAAGACGCTGAACTGCAGGCCGGAAGGTCTGTAGTTCAGCAGTTCGAGACCCGAGTGTGCCGCGTGATGGAGTGAGCTCTCATCTCTAGTTCCAGCTCCTGCCAACCTAGCAAGAAATGGCAAGTAGAAAAATAGGTACCGCTTCGGTGGGAAGGTGACAGCGTTCCATGCGCCTCAGCGTCTAGTCATGCCGGCCACATGACCACAGAAACGTCTTTGGACGTATTTCACTCTTCGGCTTGGAAACGGAGATGAGCACTGCTTCCCTAGAGTTGGATTCGACTGGCTTTCGAGCAAAGGAAACCTTTACCGTTTACCTTTACCATATGTATTTCACTATATTATATTTAGGATAAAGCACGATTCTAGTCTTTGTGAGTGTATTTATTTATTCTATTTTACACAGCATAATTGTGTTTGGGTTTATGACTCCCAGCTCTCTGTCCTGTTTACATAGCTTCATTCAGTATATGGCAGGTTCTTGTTCATGTGTTCATTAATAAAATGGCACCCGGTTGGATTAGGAAACGATATACGCCTGTTCTACACCGCAGCTCTGTCCGTGTCCCCGTGACCTTCAGGAGCTTCATCCCCTTTGAGATAAAAATGAACCACATTTATCTTTCAGTGGGTTCGAGGGTCCGAACAAGCCAGCCAGAGCCCTGACAGGCCATGGGTCCCCACCAGGGCGCCGACGTACCTGCCACTCACGTCTGTCCACAAAGCATCTTCAAGCTGTTAACTTCCACAAGCACAAGGGTGGTCAGGTCAGGTCAGACGGGCAGATGCCACAGGGCAGGAAGGGTTACAAAAGGAGTCGGCGGGCCACAAAAAGGACCTCCAGTGTGACAAAAAATTAGGCCCAGGCTGCTTCACGGCCACTGGGAGACACACACACACCCCAGCTTCCTTTAGGGGCAGGGAAGGTTGCCGATGCAAAGAGGGGAGAAGAAAAAAGCACAAGGAAGGCGAGCAGGGAACCAACTTGGTCGCGAGGAGGCCGTGTCCCTTGCGCCGCAACTCGGGGAAGGGGGGGGGGACCTCCATGTATCCTTTGTATGACAATAAATCTATTTAGCCAGTATTTATATATAAAGGTGTCCGTCTGAATTTCTGGTGAGAGGCGTCTCCCCGAGGGCAGGGCTTGGTTTTCTCTACGCCAGTGGCGCACGTGGGGTGCTGCGGCACCTGCCACCGCTTTCTGTGAAGCCCATCAAGTGCTTTTAGAAAGCGGGCACAAGGATCAGCACGGTGTGACGGGAGATCAGTGACGGCAGCCGTCTTGTGGCTGGCTCCCCCTCCTGCGGCAGCCATTTCGTATCAGCCCCCACCGCCCCGTGTCATAATTCCGAAGTTGCTTGCCAGGCTCAAAAAGAAGAGATTGGTTTTATACCCCACCCTTCCCTCAGCGTGGCTTGCATTCCCCTTCCCTTCCCCACGGCAGACACCCTGCGAGGTAGGTGGGGCTGAGAGAGCTCTTTCGAGGAGTGCTCCTGAGAGAACAGATCTGAACTTGCGACTGGCCCAAGGTCACACCGGCAGCTGTATGCGGAGGAGCGGGGAATCAAACCCGGTTCTCCCAGAGTCTGCGCTCTGAACCACTACACCAATCCGGCTCTCGAGTTGGGAACCCGTTTGTGCTACCCCAGGCCAGGACACTGTATTCTTTGACGATGCACCAACAGTGGAGTGCAACAGCCAACATGGAAGGTGCAGAGGAGACAGCTCCATTTGATCGCGCATGCAGAGAGAGCGAGGGACTTCGCCCTCCAACGTCCTGACTGCTGGGTAGCTATAGCAGCCCCTGGCCTCACCTGGGTTGCAGTTGTAGAGCCATCCGCCTCTCCCGTTGCTACTCATTGGGTGCATTCAGACGGGCCGTTTAGTCCACTTTTGGCCCGCCTCAGAAACGGATTTTACCTGCGCGATCACACGATCAACATCTGCCTCCCGTCCCCAGACGTTGCTTTCCGGCTCAAAACTCTTTAACACGGAGTATTTTGATGCCAGGTCCCCAAGTGGTGTTTTCCTGATTCTCCAGTTCCAGCCGCATTTTCCCCCTGTGTGATCGCACCTTCGGTGTCAAGCCACTTCCGGTTTAAACCCCCTCCCCACTCGAAAGCCTGCCATTTTAAAAAAAGCGTTGGCGGTGTGCGCATAGGCGGAGGTCCGCCACAGGGTTATGAAAAACAATGTTTAAATGGTGCCTAGTTTTAGACTTTAGATGAGTTCGGGGTCTCATGGAGGCCATTTTCGGCGGTAAACGCTTAAAGGGAAGTGTTCCTTTAAAGTTTAAAGGGAAGCGTTACAGCAGTCGGGTTGAAGTGGAAACAGCTGTTCTGCGCAGGCGCGAAACTTTTAGTTCCACCGATGGCGGCCTGTGTGCATGCCCAAAACGAGAGAGAGCGAAAAACAACAGCGCAGCGATCGGGAGCAAGGAGGGGAGTGTGATCGCAATTCTCCAGGTTAAAAAAGACCGCATCAGGGCCGGAGCCATTTAAACCGCTCCCAGCACACCATCTGACCGCACCCATTGGTCAGTCCTCGCATGGGACACAGCAAGCCCTATTACAGTGATGGCGAACCTTTTAGAGACCGAGTGCCCAAACTGCGACCCAAAACCCACTTATTTACCACAAAGTGCCAACACGGCAATTTAACCTGAATACTAAGGTTTTACTTTAGAAAAAACAACTCATACGTTAACTTAAGATGATCCAAACAAAGTAAGGAAAGCAATCCCAAATGCTTTCCTTTACTTAAAATTATTTGGCAGAGAATTCGACACTTTAATGATGGTCTGGGGTGGGCCTGGCTGGGGCGATGGCACGCGTGCCGACAGAGAGGGCTCTGAGTGGCACCTCTGGCACCCGTGCCAGAGGTTCGCCACCACTGCTCTAAGCTGTGGAGTCTTGTGAGCAAAACTACTACTCTGGGAGCCACTGGCATTAAAGTTGTGAGCAGGTGATTGGGTTACTGCATAAATTAGCTTTGCTCTGGGGCCATCCTTCCTGAGCTGAGACAAAAAATGTGAGCCGGAGGCTAAAAAACTGAGCTGGCTCACACTAACTCAGCTTAGAGGGAACACTGGCTCTACAGTGAAAGCCCAACGATGCCACCCTGGCCTTTCCCCCCTCTTGGTCCTTGGACAGACAGAGAACTCTCAGAAAATGAAGTCAAGCACACAAGTCATAGACAAATCTCTATTGGAAGACATATTTTGGAACTGGTGCCACGGCGTACAAAAGTATCCCTCCCCTGCCCTGAGATTGCTTAAGGCAAACATTAAACAGCGAAAGGAAAAAAGAACACACAGGCAAGGGTATAAATTACTTTGGGGAGAGGGGAGAGAGAACTGCTTACTCATCGACAGAGACAGCAAATATTGCAAAGAATAGAGGAATCCATCAAGCTCGGCCAACGATGATCCAAGCGAGAAGGATCCCCCACAGATGGACTACTTAATATAGCCCATGACTAAGAGAAAAGGGTACCGTCACCAGAGGAAAAACACTTGCATCTGTAGCCACCATTTGTTTCTTTCTTTGAGCCAAGGCAAATACAGAGTAAGCCTGCTGGATTTCTGCCCCTTTCAGCCAGGTTTCTCTCCCCAAAGACAACCCTCTTCGGCAGAGGGCCAATGTCCCCTGTCATTTGTTCACAGGGGCACAGGGCAGTAAGCAATCAAATCAGACCCAGCCGACACCAACGGAGCCCCCTTTCCTATGAAAAGCACGTCTCTCTCGGCTCTTGACAGTATTTTCTGAACGAAGATGTCTCCCGGTTACCTAGAGCTGCTTTGTAAGATCTATACAGAACACGGATTAGAGTCCGTCTGTCCCCCCCAATGTGAACACACACACACCTGTGATGATAAGGAATTGTTTCTCTTGATATTCTCGGAAGAATCCCCAAGTGTGTAATACCCAAAGGGGGGGGAGAAAGCCAAGTCCAAAGAAATTACGGGAAAAGGAAATGAAAGGATCCAGACGATAAAGGGAAGATCAACAATCACACGGATGAAATTAGTGGCTAGAAATTTCTCATACAGTTGGTGGGAGGAGGTACAGGAACCAACTGAGCACACTTCTGGGAACTTGTGCGGAAAAATCCAACCAGAGGTAAGTTGGCAAAGGGGGGTGGGGGGGTCTCCAAAAGGAGAATTAACCAAACTCTGCTGTTCAGAGCCCCGCTTAAACAAACTGCGGGGTCAGCCGGCCTACTTCCCAGAGATGCTGCACATAACGGCCTCGCGCCACCCCGGTCCAGGACGCTGCGTTCCCTGATGACGCGCCGAGAGTGGTGGAGTGCGGCAGCCAATGTAGAAAGTGCAGAGAAGGCGAGGATGAGCAGACCAGCAGAAGTGGCTGAGTCCATCCGGGATGTCCGATGAACAGGGGATTGGGACCAGAGATTCGAGAGAGAGAGAGAGAAAATAGCAGGAAGGACTGAATGGGCTGGGGGTCCCACCCCACTCACAGACCACCACCCCACCCACAGACCTAGCAGCTGAAGCAACAAGGACACCGGTTCAAAGTGCACGCCATCGGCAATTAGTTCCAATCCAAAGCCACAGCCGTCAAAAATCGGGGTCATCTAACAATGAAAGTGCCGTCGTGTACAGGACTGTCGCAAAGACACAGAGACAGACAGACAGACAAAGCAACAGTGCGCAGAAAAGTCACAGTTGTTGGTCCTTTGGGATTCCCAGGTCAAAACCCGGCCGGAATTCACTGCAGGAAAATGTCCTCCTTGCGTGAGACATTTCCCTCTTTCCCAAGGAAGAGGGAGTCTTCCCCCGGTTGCCTCTGGATTCACAGAACCCGGCCAAAGTGAGAAATGGGGAGGCTGGAACTAGAACCGCCCCCCTCAGTTATCCCCCATCACACCCTAAGCCCGTCGCTGAGCTCCCGTTTCCCTGAGCTGAAGTCCCAAGTAAGATTCAGGCTCCCCCCCCACCCCGTGTCGAAGAAGATCTGGGAATGACGCGCAGAACACGGCAAAGTACAGAAATTCTCCCCCTGCTGCAAAAACCGGTGCCTCTCCAGACAGTTCAAAACGACCAGCCGCCCAAAGCAGAGGAGCACTGCAGACCCCAGACGGGGACTCTACGAACAGCACGAGAGAAGCTTTGGAAGAGAACCTCGATGGACGAGCCCACGGGGGGGGGGGGCTCAGCTCTGGACAGGCCGGGGCTGCTGGCCTCCTGGTCACTTGTAAAGTGCCATCTTCTTGCTCTGGTACATGTACATGTAGGCGTCACAGAAGAGGCGCTTGGCGACCCCTTCCATGTCCCGGGGCTGCTCCGTGGCCAGGGCCGCCACCGGCATCTCCAAGTACTTGGCAACCTCAGGGCACAGCGTCACGGTGGGGATGTTGAAGCCGCTCTCGTCACCTGCGAAGAGAAAGAAGAGGAGGAGGAGGAAGAAGAGGAGATTGGATTTGTACCTCACCCTTCTCTACCCAAAGGAGTCTCAGAGAGCCTCACAATCGCCTTTCCCTTCCCCTCCCCACAACAGACACCCTGTGAGGCAGGCGGGGCCGAGAGAGCGCAT